TTTATGTACTTTTTCCATACATAACTTCTAGAAAATCTTACACATATTGATCAGCTAAATACTCATTACGGCAGCCCTAGGTGGGAAGTACCAGATTTGCCATTTACAGATAGCGAACGAGGGATTCTGGACGTCCCAAAAGGACCACAGAGCGACAAGATCGCCGGTTAGGACTTCTGGCTCTTAGAGACAGATTCAGTAGTCCTCAAACCATCGCTAATCAGTGGTTTGAAGAGCATGGAAGGATGGTATATCGCCAATTACGACAGTTTGGCCTTTTTTCTTATCGCCCACATTGGGTGCTACCTCTCACAGCTGAACCTCGGCGTAGCCCTTTGCTCTGGTGCAGAGAAATAATTGTATGGGTCCGGGAATGGAATCAGGTGGTACTTAGTGACGATTCCCGCTTCTGTCTGGTGGTACAACTTGACAGAACGTCACAGTCACCACACTATGGGAGTTATGATATGGGGTGCTATTGCTTATGATAGCAGATCACCACTAATTTTCATAAGAGGCGCAATATGACAGCTCGACGCTATATTCAGGAAGTAGTGGAGCCTCATCTTATTCCATACATAAACACCATTCATAATCCCACTTTTCAGCAAAATAATGCCAGACCGCATGCTGCTAGAGCATCGTTGGCCCTCATGGATCAACATCGCACCAGCCGTTTACGTTGGCCACCTCGATGGTCTGACCTATCTCCAATTGAACATGTCTGGGACATGATACTGCGCAGGCTCTTGCATTTGCAACACCCTCCACAGACTTAAGCGGCTCTTACTCAAGAGCCTGGAATGAGATACCTCAACAGGATATCAAACACCTTATCAGCACGATGTCCAGGCGTATCAATGAGAGAATAGGAAATCGTGGATCCTCAACACATTTTTGAACCAGCTTCTGCAGTCGTTTGACGAATCAAGCTGAAATATCAGTGGCCGATGCGATTTTCTCTGCCAAAATCGCCACCGTTTTGAAGCCTGGCAGGAGAATCCCATAGCTGATTGTTATCTAAGCTGTGGAGATAGGTAAAATTTATTGTCATTGTTATTTCGAATTGTACTATTGAAAAACACCAAGGTGGGCAAAACATTTGTTGGCGAGCAAAGCATGTAGATTTATCAGCGATACAACCACAGGACAAGTTTCATATTATGGTTCATTAACTAAATTCCTGTTACTAAAGTCACATAACGAACACACTCTACTGCCTAACTGCAATCATTACCTCGTTACGTCGTTTATTCAGGCCGTGCTATTTCTTGTGAAACTTCAAAATAGACGAACGAACAGCGGAGAAATCAAAATAACAGGACAATTGGAGTCAATTGGAAAAGATTAAAAACAACAAACGATGGCAAACTGGCGGCAAAACGGCTGAGTTCGCAGCCGCTAATCCAGCCGATTGTTAAAGGGGACCACAGGAATAGCGACAGCGTGGCGCTAGGATTATCCTTTACAAGGACCTCGGAGCCCTCCTGTGTGGAGGGAGAGGGGCAATAGCTGAAAACATATGAACGTGGAAGCAGAGTTGTAGATCACAGATTGTTTATAGGATCCAACATGATTAGATTTTCTTATTCTAACAAATTACCGTTTTGTTATTATCACAGAAGGACGTTAGTAATAGGGAAAAAGGCAAACAATTATAGTCAACAAAGAATACTGTTCCTTCACTAAGGCCCTCAACGTCAGTCGTTCCTACAATCGAAGGACGCCTTTGTGGCGTCCTTGATTTTCATAGTTTTAATAATAATAACGATAATATATTTATTGCCCAACAGATACATCCATTTAAAGGACAATATAATTGAATAAAATTTGATGCTACAATATTTTCAACTACAATCATAGCTCACCCATTTTATGAAAAAAAAAATGAATTGCTACACCTACTCATCTACATGTCTTAAATGTTATAAATTGAATAATAGTAGTCGCTGAATACAGCTAATATATCTTTGATTTTATCATGATGAATGTCACAATTATCAGCTACGGCGTTAAAGCTGGAGCACATAAAGTACACGGGTGACTTAATCATAACATTAGAATTTGGTGTTTTTAAGTAAAAAGCGAGAAATCTTCGGGAAATGCGGGACGGTACATGAAAATTAATTTTAGCTAATAAAGCTGAAGAATCAACATCACTGTGTACGAGTTTGTAAAGAAATGTTAAACTATTACAAACTCTTCTCAGCTCAAGAGGATGCATTTCAAATCTGAGCAGCATTGCTGATTGGGGAGTCCCACGATTGGGATAAACACCATCTAATTTGAAAGTCAAGTATTTAAGAAATCTCCTCTGTACACTTTCAATTTCATTAATATAGATTTGGTAATATGGGTGCCATACACTAGATGCATATTCCAGCTTAGAACGCACCAGGGTGCAGTATAAAGCTTTCAGTGTCGTTTCACAACCAAACGACTTACAGTTTCTTATAAAAAAACCGAGACTTTTTATAGCGGATGACACTATTGACCTAGATCTCTTACTTCTGAACAACGCATCAAACTGACACCTTCTAGTGTGTAATCAAAAACTATTGGATTCGTTTTCCTGGTAAAAGAACAGGTTTTGCATTTGCTAACATTCAAAAATAATTTATTAGTTGAACACCATTCAAATATATGATTCAGGTCAGCTTGCAAGATTAAACAGTCATAAATGCTGTTAGTCTGAGCATATATATTTAAATCATCGGCAAACAACAGAGAAGGACAGGTTAAGCAATTAGGGAGGTCATTGATAAAATAAAGAAAGAGAAGAGGACCTATATTTGATCCCTGCGGTACACCGGATGAGGCCGAGTAAGGTGAAGATTTGAAACCATGGTAAGAAACGTACTGACTTCTATCATGCAAGTAAGGAGAAATGAAATCTAATAAATGATTGCTAAAGCCAAAATGCTGAAGTTTACCTATGATTCTTTGGTGACTTATCTTATCGAAGGCCTTTGAGAAATCCGTATCCATCTGACCCCTGTTATCTAAGACCTCTGCAATTTCCTGGGTGATTTCAGTTAAGTTAGAAATAGTAGAGCGATTGCGCATAAATCCATGTTGCGTCTCAGATATCAGATGCGAGGTTAAAGGATAGATGTAGTTGTATACAGATATCTCAAATGCCTTACCAAAATTATCCAATATAGATATAGCTCGGTAATTTTCGATTTGACTAGGGTCTCCAGCTTCAAAAATAGTTTTCTACGGTATAAGCGCTATGTGACAAATATCTATTTTCATCAAATTCTTCATGCTTTTGAATTACATCATCTGTTTTATTAGCATGAAATTCCATACATTTCAAGGAGAAAACATAACTTCACAATAGGAGGGCGCTCACGCTGACGCGGAAGAGTAGAAATACCCAGCCTTTTTGAAAAAAAAAAACAAAATCAAGAAGGCCCTAAAGGCGACCTATAATTGTAATAAAGACTGACGATACGGCCCTACGAAGTACGGCAAGAGAAACACTGAAGTCTGGTGCTGTTTCGAAAATGGGTAGCCTATAGTAACCGATCTGAGCTGCCATCAAATAAACTCCGCATAATATGTTCTCTGATACCTGGAGGTTGGTTTAATGAACCTGCACTGGAAGGTTATGAATATCAAAACATCGGCTTTACTAAGAAGCGGCAAATGTTCCATTATCCCGCTCCAAATGGAGCTTTGCCACACTTTGCCATATGGTGATGGCGATATTTGAAATCAGCGTCCCAAATTACCCCTGTGTACCAACTTTTGCTTGTATTGGGAAATTTCAAAGTTCGAAGGACTGTTGTGAAGAAAATTTAAGAATTCTTTGGTCGATGGTTCTCCATAGAGCAAAATGGGAATCAAACCGATTATTGTGGCTTCCAGATCGACCCCTGCAACGAAGACTATTGTAACTCAATTTTGATTGAACTGAGATATAAGCATTTGAAAATTACTTTCTAATTTCGATCGAAGAGAAATAATAATCTCTATCCGATGCATCTTGCAGATACTATCAATTCTCTTACATCAAGGGTTATGAACGATATTACAATACAAAGTTATCAAAAAAAAATATTTTTGGAAAAATTTTGAAGACTTACTATAGTTTTCGTTGGATCAATTAAGGAAAAAAACACACATACTGTAGATGTAGTAAGATATTTATTGAAATAATACAGTATGTTTTAATATTGTCAATTTGAGTCACTCAAATTATTCTCATCTCCATGTTCATCTTCACTATCATCGTTCTCAACTTGTGTATTTTCAGTATTCTGACCTCTTTGTGTTATTTCTTTAGCTTTTAGGGAAAAATAAAAAGCATGGTAAGCTTCAGGGATGCTTGGAAGACTGTTTGATTTTGGTTTACATAGATCGAGTAAACCACTTAATTTTTTAGCATCTACTGGAAGCAAGCTTGTATATAGTAAAGGTAACTCCTGAGGTGAATTTTCCTTCATTCTCCTTCTTCGATTTCTCCTCAATTTTATTATACTGAGCTAATCAGCATAGTCATACTTGAATTTCATTTCATAAGGCATGTCTGAGGAGAAGTGTACCTCCCTTAATTTACTAATTTTCAGCTTTTCTCCGGAATCGTCTTTACTCCAGTTTTCCGAATTTACCTTTGACTTGAAACTAAAAAAATCCTTCTGAGACATCTCTTTCACGATGTATGGTCTTCCGGTTACTTTCGCCATGCGAATCAACATAATCCATTGATCGGGGGTATAAATTGCCGATTGCCGCTTTTTGGCATTTTCAATGACGGCGTGCATACTGTCCCCTTCGTTTTGTGTGTGACCTGTTTCTAGGAATCGATGGATTATCTGTAGATTCAGAGCCATAGAAGCATATGAAAACATCGAAAAAATGAAGCGGTTACGGTTTTGTCCACCGCAGTTGTCCGAGTAAAGAATAACTTTGTTTATCCCTTTCTCTTTTTGCTTTTTCAAAAAGTTTAAAATACAGCTGCTTATTTCGTTTGGCCCTCTCTTCGCAATTACTTCATGCCAAACGTAACAATAGCCTTCATGATTTCCCATGTCGTAAATGGTAAAGTTGTATGTGGCGAGTTTACTTTTGTAATAGAAGTCACTTACAGCAGATTGGGGTGTCACCAGAACTTTTTGTAAGTCGAAGCACGCTGCGCTAATTGTCTTGTCATTGATTGCAGTTTCTTTATCTTCATCTTTTAAAGCTCTAGCAGCTTTCTTATTAGAAACGTGTTTTTCATACTTCTCTTGTATTTTCTGATTATCTGGCGAAGTTGCTAGTTGATAGGCTACACAGAGACTGCATTGGTCCTTCTTTGGTTTATGGAATGCTAAATTGAACTCGGCATTGATAACTTCTCTGTATTGTCTTAAAGTTCCTACTTCTGTAGCATTTCTCTGTTCCATGTACTATAAGTAGAGGCGATGCATAATTGAAATGTTGATACCATCCTCTAAGTACATCTTTGTTGATTTTTTCCTGGTATAGTGGGAAGGCACCACAGGAAAGAGTTGAATGTGCTCTCTTATCCTATTTAAGACACCTCCGTCAATTTTATTTGGTCTTGTCAGGTGCTTCCCTCGACGATCTTCTTCAAGAGTGCCAGTTTCTCCAATTTTTCCTAGAGCAGTCGTCACCCACTGCTCTGATATTCCATACTTGTTCAGGAACATAGTTTTACAAACCGTTATTTCCTTGTTGTTGACAAGAAGCTGGTATGTTCTAGAATGATTTCGTCTTGATTTGCTATCTGTCCGTTTTACGTGCTTCTTCTCCACTGTTTTGACATACCTAACTATGTAATCCCATTGTCTAGAATGATCACCTATTTTCCAAAACTCCTCGAACAATGCTTTTCTCTCTTCCTCACTTATTTTTTGACGACATTTATTTCTGCAGTTTTCTTTACATGGATTCTTTATCTGTTTGGCGGGAATAATTGTACCTTTCCGGTTTTTATGTTCGATGCCCAAGTTTAATTCCTTCTTAGCTCGAACATCAATCCACTCATTTGTATTTTTTACACGTTTTCTGCCTTTCCTTTCTTTGGGCGTTATCTTACGCTTTTTAGGCACCTGAATTCGGTTTTTGGTTTCATGAGGTATAAATGGCACAATAGATGAATCAGAATCTGTTGTTTCTTCGGGTACATAAATAGGATCAATATCCGAGTCGTCTGAGAAATTTCCTTCCGTATTCGTGTATCAAGAAGTACTACTGATGGATCTGTTTGTACAAAATTAAATCCAACTTCTATAGGGTCCTCTGCAGGGTGGTTGCTGGAAGCAACAGCTGTATCAGGCAAAGGGGCTCGCACATCCTGTACATTGACTACTGCACCAGCATACGCAGATTCCGTAATAAGACAGTTATCTGCACCTACAAAAATAAATACCTGTAAGAATCTATAAGTAGGAGAGAAAAATCAATGTAGGTATAACATGATTCCAATGCATAACAGGCAAATGTGGATACTAAGCATGAACCAGAAAGAAAGAATTAATTACCCATGTTAGAAAATAATAAAATAATTACAAGACAAACTTACCTGAACCTGATGCATCATTTAGCTTCTTTGCATTTTCCAAAATGACTTTGGTCCTAGAATTCATTCTAGTTCTCTATATTTATCTATTTTCAGACAGCTACTACTTAAAACGTTTTGGGTTTAAATAATCATAACCTCGAATTATACCGCGAAGATTATAGTATGTCCAAACATAGAATGCCTACCGCGATTTTTTGCATCGAAAACTATAGTAACTCAACTTGATGTACTTTTCGCTGACAGCAATGTGAGTGATTATACTTACTATAATTCACGAAAGTTATACTGGTTGCCTATGGTTTCATAATTGAGATACTATATTCTTCCTCGAACGAGAAGCATAATATATCTATCGATACCTTATAGTAAGTCAAAAGTAAGGATTTTTGAGTTACTATAGTCTTCGTTGCAGGGGTCGATGATATAACATAGTCATTTTTATTTGTTGTAAGTTATCTCTAAAAGGTTCTGTCACAAAATCAAAGAGTTCTGGACTACCGTAAGGTATTATTATTCCGCTGCTCTCTTCCTTTTCGTTACTCGACTAGAATGCGACCAAGAAAGGTAGAGTTTACTACCAATTCCTCGATAAAATACAAATTACATATATTTAAAATAGTGCATGAAATTTGAATCCAAGAACACGAACAGTTGATAAACCCTTTGTTTCACGTATTCAACAGCATGCAATATCCTATATACAAATAATCCCTTATCACGAATGGACGCAGTGATATCTGTGCGACACATTCATAGCAGTTTATTTGAATTAGATAAAATATTATGTATGGGAATTTCGCCTGTGCGGATTCGTGTAATTAATAATAAATAGTCTCGCGATAGAAAGGGTAATAAATGTATACTGGTCGACGACACGCAAATTTCCCATCAAGCTGTATACTAATGCTCATTGTTTTATTAGTTATGACTCCGCTTTGATAATTTAGTGCATTTATTCGAAACTGATGGTGAACAGGTGGAATGATGAGTGCGGTCGATAACGTAATGACCTGGTGTTATACACTGATACACACAGCTGTGTATCAGCGCAAGTAGAAGTTCAAAGCTTTTTTAATAAGGGGCACCCCAAGGATATGAGGCAGCGTTGAATTTTCTCCTTTAATATACAAGTGCTTGTTGGCTTGTATGTACATACCTATGATTTCAAATAAACCGATCTCACATGTATCAACTGCAAAAGATATCAATTTCCTCATTGATGGTAAAGGAAGATGGTCTCGTCTAGTCAGCTGTACACAAGGCTAAGCTGTTCAACGTCTCACACCCGATGCTTGCCCTGAATCATCCAGCCTTTATTCTTTCAATTAGCAAACTCTTCTAGCACAGTTTTATACTTAAACAGTTGTCCTTTATGGCAAGTGACACAAAAAAATTGAAAACATCCACAGCATTCAATATAAATTTTCCAGAATATCCACAGCTTGCCAGTTCTATATAAATTACGAATTCTAGCAACAGTACTGCTTCCCCCGGCCCCCTTACTTCCCAAGGTGATACTATTGAGATACTTAGAAGCTCTCATAATATAATTCTGAAAAGAATTTCCAAAGGTAATGGAGGTACTAACATGGTTAGGGACATAATCATACACATCGAACCTACTGCTAACCATCACTGAGCATTGACTATTACCTTAGCAGAGTAACTTCTCCTCCATGCTTGATAAGAATATCATTTGTCTCACTCAAGCACTTAAGTAGATTAGAATACCCCATGACAAATCACCAACGTAAACGCAAGAACTTACACAAAAAATGTGGGGCATCTTCGCTCATTCAGTCCTGGATGAAACGGCAAGAAAGATAGTGACTAAAAATGTACTCTGCATCCGTTCGGTACCTTGGCTTAGTTCTGATTTATCAATGATGTTCGGTGTCGAAGCAGCGACAATTCTCAAGGTTATGTTGCCCATATGCACCGTTTTCAGTTAAACTTTGCATAGCTTAATTCCTATGCCACGGCTTTGTTACGAATCTTCCCAGCTGAGAACGTTGTAGATCCGGCAATGCTGCATCTATTACAGGGAATTTGAGCTTTGGTTATGCATTCTTCAGTTTTTTGAACTTTTTGTCAGAATCAGTAAAGATAAATTGTGTCAGTAAAATTTAGACCAACTTTCCTAGAAGATCGAAGGAATCACATTATCTTCATTTATTAGAACCGGACAATGGATAATAATCATTTACAGAGAATAATAATGGAATATCTCCTCATTGTGAGTCTAACCAAGTAGGTAATCAATTCATTTTTGGCAGCTTTATTCATCAGTCAGGGCATTTCGCAGAACATCTATGAAAAAACAAATTTTGGTTGAACTAAACTTTAGCGCATACCGCAAATATTTTATTTCTTATTTTAAAATCAAAAATTTTGATGTAAGTTTCTCCAAAATATCATTTTTTCTTTGAGGAACCCTCTGTTTGCTATTTTATAGCACTTCAAAGTTACATTTCTGGTGGTAATAGAATACGCTGTTTTTTTTTTATTTTTGCACAAAAGGATGCTCTAAATTATAAATTTATAACATACACTGTATAGTACTGTGACATTATTCATCGCAATGAAACAATTTTGTCTTATTTTTATGATTAAAATAAACTATTATAAAGTAATCGTTTCTTTTATTTAAGATGAAGTTTCCCATTACTACACCACTATCACTATCAATTTTTACGTTAGCTGGAATGTTGCCAAATCATGAATCATTTTGATTTGTTAATATTAAAACAAATGCCGCGCCAGAATTAAAATTTGGTTTGTCTTGTCAAATTCTTTCGATTTCTAGAATTTCATTACGATTTTCGGAGATTTTCTTTAACATTGTGATTCATTTCATAATATCTGTGACGTTTTTTGGGTAAGTACGTGATATATAGTAATTGTATCTATACTATAATGTTTTTTTTCTGTTCATCGTAGATATGACTACCTATAATCTTTGTTTCTTGCCCAGAGAGCCGGAAGAGGCTGTTGAGTGGCCCAAAGAACGGAGATTATTTCCAAGAGCAAAAATGTGCACAGGATTGCGATGAAAGTAAGATTTGGAGTGGCCGGCAGATTTTACTGTCCAAAATCTACTTCCTGCCCTACGGTATCTATATCCAAGTCACTTTTGTAAACAATGTCGTATGCCTTTCCCAAAAGTGTTTCGGTTAGTTTTTTCCAATATTACATTATAATTCATTTCTTTTTAGTATGTTTGTACTTGAAGAATTATTAAATAAGATTGATGATTGTATTTCAACCAGTATAGATATGGAAGAAAAATGTTCACCAATTCAAATTTAAAGATTATAATGCTTGTGAAAATTGTAATTGTACTTTTTGACAGACTTATGTACGCTTTCACGAGAGAATGAAGCTATAGTGACGCTGCCCACGAAATAGATAGTCCTGGTGCCGAACAACATCTTTCTCCACCTACCATTGCGTTCTGTTATTCTAGCTATGAATTTATTCAAGTATATCTATGTTATAAGATACATTCATTAGGTACAAATATTGTCGAGAAATGGTTGTTGATCATTTTTCAATAATAACTCTAGACGATGAGTTGTTGCGTGGACCTGGCACAGTGGTCCAAATCGACGAATCCAAGTTTGGCTTGCGCAACAACAATAGAGGGCGCAACGTCGAAGGCCACTGGGTACTGGGGATTATCGAAAAATCGGGAAGAGAAGATGTCAGGATGGTAGAGGTGTTAGAACAGAATGCCCATAATTCAACAATATGTTCATCCCGGATCCGAGATCTATACGGAAATGTGGAGGGCGTATAATGGATTGACCCCGAAAACCGCTTTGTTAGTAAGTTATTTGCATTTGTTTATTCTACCTAGATATGTATATACATACACAATGTTTCAAATATATTTATTTATCTTTCAGCTCCTGACGGCACCACCACCCAGCGCATAGAGATGACCTGGAGGCCAGCGAAAGATTATTTCCGCAACCGTCATGTCCCTGTCGAAGAATTTGCAGACGCTATCTGCGAATATCTCTGGCGTAAGCACTGTCGCGTTCACAAAAAAGCAAAAATCGCCTCTTTCAAGGTGAATCCCTAATGATGAGTTACTGAAGGGATTGGGGAGTGATTCTCGATCACCTCTACGTGGTGCTCCCTGGAAACACCGTATGGTGGCTAAACGATCGATAAATAACTATTATGTATTTTTATATGCAATTTCTGTTGATACTACCACCTTGTTTTTTAAATCTCACGAGCTGCTGGTGAATTTTTCACTGTTTATGTATACACTACTCAAAATTTTACGTAATTCTCAGTAAATATTGGGTTAGCCACTAGAAGACAAACCATTTTCATAACACATTTATTTTTGAAATAACGTCATTTTTGATTTACCTATTTCTCCCAACAAAACGTACAATTTGGCAACAATGGACCACATTCCTCTTATCTGTCAAGTAATGAAAGTGTATAAAATGGCAGTTGAGAATTGTTTCTACTTTCCAACATTTATTATAAACGCAAAAAACTACAATGTTTTTTTTAAATTAAGAGGCTTCAAGAAAACATTTGGAACTTTTAACAACAGCTCTAAACAGTTTACCCAGAAGAAACCATCATTTGAGGTATGTATTTTAGCGTATTATAAGGCTAGTTTTTAACCTTTTTCCTTAGTACAATAAAGTTTATGTTATATTCTTACAATTTCGAGCATCCTTTTGTGCAAAACGCCAAAAAACAGGGTATAAAGCTGTATTCTCTTCTAGATTGTTACCAGCAAAAATGCAACTTTGAAGTTCTATAAAATAGCAAGCAGAGGGTTCCTTAAAGAAACAATGATATTTTCTTGAAAGTTACATCCTAATCCTTCATTTTAAAATAAGAAATGAAATATTTGCGATATGCGCTAAAGTATAGTCTCACCCAGATTTTATACAACCTACAATCGTATAAATACTATTGTACCATATGAACTAATGAACTACATTATACATAAAATAAAACAAATAAAACGTTTCACTTATGCAAAGAACGCTTTCTTTCACAATCAAAACGTACATATTTTAAAAATTAGTTCATATTTATTTCTTCAGAGATTATAGGCTATATTTTTTCTTAGTCTGAATCACAGCTAAACCTCCTATGAATATTTTTACATTCCCGAATTTTACAAATTAATTGCTAGCATTCCCACAAAATTTGCATAAAATGCTTGATGCGCTTCAAATTTCTTATACCCAAAACTTCCAAGGTTACCTTCCCATATGAATTTCTTCAGGAAAGAATTGATCCGTATTGAAAAAGTAATCTTCTGGTTGGTACACTCATCTCGGAAAGCCATATTTTAAATCATTTTCGAAGTAAATCATCAAATTTGCGATCGGCTGAAATGGAATTTAGAGCAAATGTCAATCTAACCAGTTAGTTTACAGCACCAGCTGTCAACTTTCAGGATCGACTGTTGGAGGCAAATTCAATCCTACACATGCCACCTAGCGACATTCAAGTGAAAACAAACAATCTCCAATCGCTTTCCAGTCACACCACGCCGTCTCCTGGTAACACCGTGCGAGTACATTACCTGTATATAATAATAAATTATAATAAAATGTCTTTATTAGGCACATTATATAAACTACAACATAATGTGACCTCTACGTAGGCGAAGTCTAGCTCTTGGCTACTCTACTTAACCTACCCAAATAATAAATTGAAATACTTAATCAAAGGAAGCTTTGACAAGCAGCAAAAGACGCTTCAAAACAATGAGCTTGATAGCTTCCTGACATACATAATATATAAATAATAATAATAATATTTATTTACTCTAAAATACAGGGAACATGAAACGAGTAAATAAATATAATATATCCATAGGAGGACAACGCCTGTACATGGATCATATGTATGTTGAATTGCAAAATATAATAAAATAGAGAGAAAAAAGAAATTATTGGTAAGAATGGTAGAGCATTTATTGTGTAATATTTGAGATTATTTTATTAATTTGATTTCTTCCAATCGTGTTAATAAATTTTTTTAATTTTTTTTTTGAAGCCTAATGTATTGCGTAATTGTTTTAAATTATTTGGTAAATGTTCGTACAATTTTGGAGCTATATACAGGTGACATCGTTTCATTAGGGATTTGTTTGGTTTAGGAACATTTTTTGCGCGTAATTTATATCTGGTTTTGTGATTATGTTTAATTATGTCGTGTTCACTAATAGTTTTGTGATAATGAGTGATGGTATGTAAGAAGTAAAGTTGTTTAGTATCATATACTTGTGCATCATTATATAAGTCATTAGTTGGGTATAATTTTGATTTGCCTAACATTGATTTTAAAATTCTTCTTTGAAATACATCTAAATCGTTAAAGTATGTCGTGCATGCAGCACCCCACACTACTATACCATATGTTATGTGTGGCTCGACTAAAGCTTGATATATTATTCGTAGATAATATTCAGTTAATATACCGGTGAGAAATTTTATTTTATATGCTATGAATCTAATTTTCTTTAGTATGTGAGAAATATGTACATCCCGTCTCAAGTGG